GCAGTTTATTTGAAACAAATTTGGCAACATAATTCACAATGGATGTTTCCACTTACTAAACATTTTCCTTACTTTGCTGATGTTAAATTTCAATAAATAACCTCTCACATAAATACTGGAATGCAAACAATTAACTCTTGTAAACCTTAAAAGTCCAGTATTGACACCTTTAATAGAAAACAAACGTTTTTGACTGTACTTCGGTCTTCTTCAGGTTTGTAAAACCAGTAGGAATCAAACTTGTGAATGCGAAGAACAAAATTTCAATACCGGACTTTTAAGGTTTACGAGAATTAAATGTTAAATTTCACTTATCAACAACCAGATGACTTTGCTTAATATAATAATCATCTACAGTCAATAGTTATGAGCAATATTAGTGAATGTTTTTGCATAAATGATTTCACAAAAATGTGGATAAATAAAGTAAGTTAAATATACAATAAAGACTGATAGTATATACTCTTTATACCTGTATTACCTCTTAGTTTAAGTTGTTGGTCTATTAGCAATTTTTTGCCTTTGATTCAAATTAAATAACAAAGAAGTCTTACTTTCATTTAATTAATAAGTTAATTCATTCTAAAATACAGTAGTACAAATTGCAGATAGTTTATGTTTATCGGATAAAGAAATAATTGATTTTTCCCCCTTTAATCTTTTAATGCCATATGGACTTTATGTAATATGTAATAAATTAATCTTGTCTCATTTCAAACATGTTAATTATTTAATAAAAAAATAGATTTCTTGTCTCTTTGTCATCTCTGACATTACCCATATTTTTGGGCTGATATAACTGCTTTTTGTGTTGTTGGTAATTCTTAAAATGGTTACTATTGTTTCACGTCACTTTCAGGTCTTCTACATTGTATAAATAATAATTGAAACACATTTTTGTGTGCATGTATGTACAAGAACATCATATTACAAAAATAAAAATACCATTAAATTTTAATAAACAGTCATAGATAATTGTTGAGAACATAAATGAAATGATTTTTTGAAACAATACAAACATAGACACACCTCTGATGGCAAATACTTGAAACTTACATGGATAAATGGAAAAAATTGTAGTAAACTTGTGATGAATGAAAATTGTTAAAAATTATTTTAGCAGTTTGAAAACTTGGATGTGGTCAACTACAAAGACAGTTAACATATTAATGTATTACTAATTTATTTACATCAAATGTTCTTAATAATAGCATTTATAAAGGAAAAAAAAAAATGAAAATTTAAACCATTGAAATATCAACTGTGCAGTCCATTACTATGAATAATTCATGGTTATCCTTTATTGATTTGTTTTAATTTTTGCCATTTATTCTTGTCTACTGTGAATTTGATGACAAGAATAATTGGCAAAGATTAGTTAGAAAGAATGTTAGCATTACAAAATTTTATTACACCATATGATAAGATACAACAATTTATGATAATTTATGGAAAAATCTTTCTTAAGTTTACATACTTTAAAAGTGCTGAATATGTGTACTGTGGGTTCCCAACACATGATACACCCAGCATTCTAATTTTGCCCATATCTAATGGAATGTCTTGAATGGGTAAATGAGGCCAGAATGATACTGTCACAGCTTGTCCAGATTTACTGGAAAAGAAAGATCATATCCAAAATTCTTTGTTGTAGATCCAAAGATAAAAGATGTTGAGTCTGGTGAGTGTGGTAGCCATCACATCTGCACCAGAACTTGTCCTGCTGTTCTTTCCATCCACCACTGGAAGAGTTTGGTGTTGATAAGTTTTGACTTCTCAGCAGCAATGTAGTGCAGTCTCACATTTTGGTGAATGAAGTCTTCAGAATTGCCTTGAGCTCAGTTTATTAACCACTGTACCAACATATCGGGGCAATTCATTCCATTGTCTGTTTTGCAAAGAAAACTGGCATCACACTTGTGTAACAGAGACACTGCAGAAAACATACTGAAAGTATGTTTTCAACAAATCCAAAACAACTTCTAAAGCTTTGTATGGAATTCTTGTCTTCCACACCTTGATGTTAAGCTGATTCACCTTCCCCGAACGGTGAAACTTAGCCTTGTCACTAAAGTAAACAAGAACAAAGCTGTACAGCATGCTACTTTGCAGTTTTCATTTTGCATATATAATTACCTCATTCAACTTATCCCTTTAATTATTTATGAGAAATCAATTTTCACATATTACAAATTTACAGATGTAATATGAGTACCACAGAGATATATTTTGTATTTGTGCTGCTGGCAGCAAGTGTGGGTTGCTTTTTGATCACAAAGCAGACCAAAATGATTTCAAACTTTTTCAGAGAAATGAAAGTTCATATGTACGAAGATATACAGATACAAGGCCTTTGCTAATACAGTACAGTAGAGTCCTTCAAACTCAACATAATGCAGGCTAAGATTTGCAAATAGTATGCTAAACATAAAGCAGGCTTTGATTTTAACTTTCTATGTTATTGTCTATTGTATGAGTTAGCAAAAACAACAAGTTTTATAGTGATGATGATAGTCCGAATAGAAAAGTTTTTGTAAAGATATATGTGAAAATTTGTATATGTATTAACTGCTTACCAATAGAGACTATTTCTATTTGTAGTTAAATTTTAATTTAAAAATATTGGCTATTCAGTGGTTACTTTTCAAGTTAGTTACTTTGGCCTTATGACATTTTGCAGTGGTACTTTGGAAAAAAGATTATATTCTTTCTTAACATGTGGAATTGATACTGTTATCAGTGAGGAATGATAATTTATTTGATCCTGGTGTTAAGTTACAGAGGTAAAAATTAGGTTACGTGTATTTATTTTTTTTGGACGACACAATGAGTTTTACTGAATGTTGAGTTACCAGGACTCTACTGAGTTAGTCTTTGTTGGAATTAATCTGGGCGGAATTCAGTACTTTTAAGGATCAAAGTCTTTCAAGATTTGAATGCATTTCTAAGAATTTAAGTTCTTGAGAACACACAATGAATGTAATTTGTTGAAAATGAGGAATGTAAGGTATAACATTTACTGCCAATTTGCTTTGTACGGAGTAATTAGTAACTAACTAGTTCCAATTATTTGAGAACAAGTTGGTTAAGATTATTAGTAATTACAGATGATTAATGAAGTAGTGATTAACTAGTGTATTAACATTTTCCAAGAAGTCAGATTATGGAATAATTTGGTCTCTGTATCATTGTAATACAATTAGTATTTCTGATGTCAGAGTAAAATACTGGGATTTTGGTCTCAAATTGGCTCATTTGAGACAATATTTGAATACAAGTTTGCCATTGCACAAACTTGTATTCAAATATCTAGTGCAAGTTCTCAAGAATGATGAAAACTTAGTAAAATGGAATATTCCTCAATCTTTGCATTTGAATACTTGCATCTTTAGTTAGTATCATTGTGGATTGATTTGGATTAAATTTCAAATAAATTTTATAAAGTTTGATTCTGGTTTACACAGGTTTTACTATATTAACAGAAACATTTTATTTAGTTGTTGAATATCATGGCAAAAAAATAATAATACAATGTCAATATTGTGGGCTACTAATAGATAAAATAATGTACTTTTCATGAAATACAATCAATTAGAATTGATGTGAAACAAGGCTGAATGACTAGTATTTGGTTAACCACACAAATATGCATCTTATTTGACAAGTTTTCCCTTATGACTTGACTGAAATGGATGATTGACTCAGTTTGTAGTGTTTCTGGGCATTGATCTTTAACAACTAGGTTTATTTATGACATATATTAGTACTTACTAACTTTTCTTAGAGACATGGAACACCATTCATATTCTTTTTGTTTCACAGAGCATTAAATTTTGTTTTAAATGTATAAATTTTATAAGTGTTTTTTGTTGCCACTAGAGGATAATTTGTAACATTTTGCATGCCAAGGCAGGGAGGTAGACTCTTCCTCAAGATTTGTTATTTTCTGTTGGTGTATGAAGAAACAAAAGGAAGAAGGACACTTGTAGGATTTGTCCATAGGAAATTTTGTAATTTTTTCAAATTTATTGAATAAAATAGTAAATGTAGAATTGTCTACAAGTAAAGTAATATGTTGTTGTATGTTGGAGTAAATTTTCAATAAAAACCTTGAAATTTTTTTTTGGTGGAATGCTCCAGGCAGTTTGTGAAACACTTGCATTCTGTGGAACAAGAGTTGAGAACCTCGCACACACACACACACAATTATATATATGTAAGATATCAGGGCTGCGGAGTCGGAGTTTTGGTGTTTTAGTCGGAGTCGGATGGTAAGGAAAAGTCAGAGTTGGAGTCGGTAGATTTTTACGCGACTCCACAGCCCTGTAAGATATAAAGCAATTATACTAGAACCATTCTTTGTGTATATTTTACCTATCAACTTTATTAATAAACAACTGTCTTGCCAAATAATAGATATTGTATAGAATTAGAATTACTGTACACTGATAACATTGTTTGATATCAGGAATAAAGGAGCAACAACACTAACATAACAACACATTTATCAATTAATCACTCCATAGGTACACACGCAAAAGACAAAAAAAAAAACACTTGAACCAAACTTTATAACTTTTTATATGGACAGGATTGTCTTCTCTAATAGCATATTGTAGTAAACTAGTTTTCTTTAATGTTTATTGAAATTGTAATTTAATATTCGTAATGTTATTAGTTACAGTATTGTTTTATCGTAGTGATGTTTAATATCAAATTTATTTTATTACAATAAGTGATGACACTCATTGTAATATAATAATGTAATGAAAATAATGATGATTTACAATGAGAAGGTGAAGTCTACCAAGAACTGGGGGATCTTAGAACTCTGGATAGATCTCCAATGATTGTAAAATTTTACATGTAGTTTAGCTTTATATTGTTGTTATAAATGTAATTAGTTTATTTTAAAATAATTTTGATGAGGAAATATTAAAATTATTTAAATAATGTTTTTATAATTGAATGCATTAAACATATATTGTTTAATATTGCAGGTATGATCATATAAGACCCCCGAGAGGTAACAACAACAGAGTATTGCAGTCACCTACAGTTAGAACCGCAAATAGCGGCATCATTACAAATACATCCAGGATGGCTTCTCCTAGTTCAGAAACTTCATCATGGAATTCTCATCAGACAGCTTGGTCGACACCGGCCCTTCAGAATACTGATAAAACTGACCATTCCTCAGGATCTGGAATTAATACAAGTAAAAATATTTTTGATTGTATTGTGATTATAGGGGGATATGGCAATGTGATACATGGGAAATCTGCCAAAGGGGGCTCCTCCCAGCAAGACTTTTTATGGAAATCTAGTTCCTATTTAGATGTTAGACACATAAAAGAACATTAGAAAATGCCACTTTTCCAGTTATTGATGAGGCTTGAACCTGTGATAGGCTACTAGAATTTCGTGGTTTTATCCAGATGAAGATTGACCCATAATATTAATGATAAATTTTGCAAGTCTGGTTGAAATCAGATCTCCAAAGCAGTATATAACTACAGTTCTGGAAAAAAGTTTGAGACCACCTGGGTTTTCAAATTTCCCATCAAAATTAACTGAACTCATGTAAATATATTGTTGTTTAGGTATTAAAATAACTATAAATCAAATATGAAGTAAAAATTTATTTTCATCTATAAGAAATTCAAATATAACAAATTATTGCTTGCAATTTGTCTGGAAAAAGTTTGAGACCAGGATCAAAAATTCATATTTTACAATATTCTAAAATATTATACACATTGTAACCTAATTTGCACACGTCCATGTGCTTTCAACTTTCAGTGAAAATGGGATCTAGTAAAACATTAACAGATAAAAAAAACAGGCAAAATATGTCATTCAAAGACTGTGGAAATCTGAATGTGTTATTGCAGGCCTACTAGGAAGATCAGAGACAATAATTCACAATTACTTAAAGGACTCGGACAATTATGACAAAACTAAATGTTATGATAGGCCAAAAAAATTTTCTGCTGACAAGATATATTCTGCAAAAGTCTTTAAGTCATGCAAACATTAAAATGCAGTCACAGCGAAAAGGGACAATCTCCCATATGGAAAGGCAAGTTTGCAACGTGTTATATTGGCCATGGAGCTTTTAGTGATGAGAAGAAATTTAACCTAGATGGCCCTGATGGTTTGCAATACTTTTGGCATGATATATGTCACCAACCTCATCTCTAACACATTGTATACAAGGTGGAGGATCCATGATAATGTGCAGTGTGGACGGTTTCACTCATCAGTTAAATTCATCTATTGCTTTTATTTCATCTTGTTCAAAGGCATTATACTGTCAAGATTTGATGAGAAATTATCTTCTATTATTAAGTGATGAAGCAATGAATGAAAATTCTATTTTCTAACAAGAAAATGCTACCCCAACAGTGATATGATTGTGTCTGACAATAAATAATTTTAATGTTTTGTCACAGTTACTGCATAACTAGGATTTAAACTCAATAGAAAACCTTTGGAATGATTAAGTAAGAGTGATCTATGCAAATGGAAAAAAATTTAATCATGTGTTTGATCTTAAAAAAAGCAATTGTGACTGCTTGGGATGAAGTTGATCCTGAAAGGCTAACAACTCTTACTAACTCTATAACCAATTCATTGATTGATGTTATTCAGGTTTAATGGTAAACAAACTAAGTATTAAATATTGTCTTTTTTTCCACTATGTTTTGTATTTACTGTTCTTTCTTGATCATGGTCTCAAAGTTTTTTCCAGGCAAATTGCAAGCAAATACAAATTTTACAAATAATTTGTTGTATTTGTTGAATTTCTTAAATATAAAAATAAATTTTTATTTAATATTTGGTTTATGGTTATTTTAATATCTAAATGACAACATTTACAGATCAGTTAATTTTAATAGAAAGTTTGAAAAGCCAAACGTTTTCCAGAACTGTAGGTACAGTACAGTAATATTCATAGACGTCTCTGTTATCAATGTATCCTTTACATATCACATTTTACATTTGTCTCTTCCTTTCCTTGATATACTTACTATGTTTCATCTAATTCTAATTTATTATGTGGGAAAAATGGGATTGATACCAGAATGGCCTTTCTGGTATTTGAATATTTTGAACATGGAGTTTTTGCAGTTTCTTCATATAAACAAACACTTAGAAGGAAAGGCATGGTTGCCTACATTATCCCTATCAGATGGGAAATAACAAAAGACATGCATTGTTATGGAGTAACAATTCACATAAAAAGAAATGGAAAGTAGACAAAAGTCAAATGCAATCCCCAAAATAATTTTCTTGATAATTCTGTAAAAAGTGTGAATAATGTTTCATATATGCTTAAACTCTTGTTAGGTAAATAAGTCTTTCTGCAAGACTTGCATTAACCATTGAAGTGTGGAACTAGCATTTTCAGTTTATTTCAGCAGAAAATTAAGAATATTACTTTTGTTTATAGCAAAACATACTATAATAAAACTAAATTTATTGTATTTTTATTTAATAATAATTCAGTTGTTTTCTAAACATTTAATAACATATGAAATCTCTTGAATAATGCATCTAAATTAACTTTCTAACATTTTAATCTAAACTTTATATTTTAGCTAATATGACAGTGCTCAGGAAACAAGGACTTTCTTCTGACAGCGGGTTCGGCGAAGAAATGTCTCAAACAACCGCTGGACCCGGTTCACCGCAGTGGGCTCTCGCACCGGAATTTGTTCCTCGAGGTACCGTAATTCTGACTTTTCATAAAATATTGTGATGCTATTTAAGAACAAATTGCATTAAATGTTAATTATCAACAAATTTCAGCAGTATTTTCTTCCTCTGTGAAATCTTACGCCGAAACAGTAAAGCCAAAATCTCCAGAAAGCGGCAACAGCGAGTCGCCTCCATCTCACTCTGAACAACTTTTGTGTCCATTCGCCATGGGTGAAGTTTGTCCGTACGGTGATCAGTGTTCGTATTTGCATGGTGATATATGCGAACTATGTGGTAAACCCTGTCTCCATCCTTTAGATGAAGAGCAAAGAAAACAGCATAATGAGGTATAGAATTTTTTTATCAACAATTTTTTCTAACATATTCATATACAGTGATACCTCAGGATACAAACGCCCCATCATACGAAAGTTTCAGGATATGACATGGAATTCGAACATATTTTTGCTTCACGATACGAACAAAAACTCACCATACGATGTTACATTACTTCGCAGTGCCATTTTTTATTCACTTCTGTTCATCAGTCTCAGTCCGTGTGTTTGCTTCGTCATGGAAGGATCTCGCTCGATAAAGGAAATCTTGAGGTATTATCAGAAAGTGACTGATTTTATTGAAAAGAAACATCCCGAAAAGGTTCACACTGGCTGTATTGCTGCTCAGTGTAATGACATTTGCCTAAGTCATTTTAGAAACATTTCAAAAAGTAGGCAAAGCCAAAACTCTTTGGATAGATATTTTACCAAGCGACCTCTATCCAGTGAAAGTGCTAGTGGAATTGAAGGAAAGAAAGCAAAAAGCAGTGAATAAAAAATTTAAAAATAAATACAAAATAGAAAAGTTAAAAAATTAGTGTTAAGTTATTTTAAAGTTATTGTTACATTATGTTATGTAAGTTAAGTTTTAGTATCATTTCCCTTCTCCCTTTCCTCTGCCACCAGTTTACACCTCACCGTTGTCTATTCTCAAAAGTAAAGTGCAAATAAAACTACATTTTTTTTAATCAATTATTATTCTATTATGGTTATTTATACATTTAAAACTACAAAATGCATTTTTCAGTGTTTTCCTTACTAAAGTTATTTTTTTTCAATGTACTACTTAGCTTTAATTTGAGTGTGTTTTTCATGTTGGAATGGATTATTTGGTTTTACATGTAATCGTATGGGGAAAAATGATTCACCTTACGATATTTTCATGATACGATCTCAGTTTCGGAACGGATTAATTTCATATCCTGAGGTACTACTATACACAAAATGAAGTAGACGAGACAAAGCCAAAATTAAACTAATTAAATATAAATTAAAATAATTTTGTATTAAACTAATGTTTTGGTTTTTCTGAAACCTGTTCAAATAACAACCCTAATTTTAAACATTAATAGTTTGAGAGATTATATATGTATAAAAATATTTCTGGAAAAATTTAAGAGTTGGTTTATTTTCGCTACAGGAATGTACACAAGAAATAGAAAGGGACATGGAACTGTCGTTTGCTGTTCAACGTAGCCTTGGAAAGACGTGTGGTATTTGTATGGAAATAGTGGTAGAAAAAGAACCCCCTACAGAACGGAGGTTTGGAATCTTGGAGAAGTGTAATCACGTATTCTGTCTCACTTGTATTCGCCAGTGGAGGAAAATGAAGCAGTTCGAAAGCAAAAACATTAGGTATGATTGATTATTGATATAAATTATAAGAATTTCCAAATAAAAATTTTCTAATTATCAAATTTATAAGTTAGTTTAATTTTATCAGAGTGATTTATAGTCAATATAAACCACAATACAGTTTATTTGAATCAAGGTTTATATCCATTATAATTCATTTAATGAGAAAATTAGAATCTGTAAATTATTTTTCTTGTACTCAAGAAGCCGTATACTGGTGACTCTTGATATAACATACTAACAGAGGGAAATGGTGGTCTGAAATGCCAAGTGTTGTAGGTGCTGTAATAATTTTAATAGTTATGTTTTCAAATTCTAATTAAAACCTCAGATTTTCATAAAACTAATTTAATGAATAAGAATCTTATTAACCCGTCCTGCGTTGTTCCCGAAAATTTTCATGTTGACCTCATTGACCTGCGTGGGTGATCCTGAATATTTTCGTGTCTGCATCATTCATTGATTGATGTTATTCAGGTTTAATGGTAAACAAACTAAGTATTAAATATTGTCTTTTTTTCCACTATGTTTTGTATTTACTGTTCTTTCTTGATCATGGTCTCAAAGTTTTTTCCAGGCAAATTGCAAGCAAATACAAATTTTACAAATAATTTGTTGTATTTGTTGAATTTCTTAAATATAAAAATAAATTTTTATTTAATATTTGGTTTATGGTTATTTTAATATCTAAATGACAACATTTACAGATCAGTTAATTTTAATAGAAAGTTTGAAAAGCCAAACGTTTTCCAGAACTGTAGGTACAGTACAGTAATATTCATAGACGTCTCTGTTATCAATGTATCCTTTACATATCACATTTTACATTTGTCTCTTCCTTTCCTTGATATACTTACTATGTTTCATCTAATTCTAATTTATTATGTGGGAAAAATGGGATTGATACCAGAATGGCCTTTCTGGTATTTGAATATTTTGAACATGGAGTTTTTGCAGTTTCTTCATATAAACAAACACTTAGAAGGAAAGGCATGGTTGCCTACATTATCCCTATCAGATGGGAAATAACAAAAGACATGCATTGTTATGGAGTAACAATTCACATAAAAAGAAATGGAAAGTAGACAAAAGTCAAATGCAATCCCCAAAATAATTTTCTTGATAATTCTGTAAAAAGTGTGAATAATGTTTCATATATGCTTAAACTCTTGTTAGGTAAATAAGTCTTTCTGCAAGACTTGCATTAACCATTGAAGTGTGGAACTAGCATTTTCAGTTTATTTCAGCAGAAAATTAAGAATATTACTTTTGTTTATAGCAAAACATACTATAATAAAACTAAATTTATTGTATTTTTATTTAATAATAATTCAGTTGTTTTCTAAACATTTAATAACATATGAAATCTCTTGAATAATGCATCTAAATTAACTTTCTAACATTTTAATCTAAACTTTATATTTTAGCTAATATGACAGTGCTCAGGAAACAAGGACTTTCTTCTGACAGCGGGTTCGGCGAAGAAATGTCTCAAACAACCGCTGGACCCGGTTCACCGCAGTGGGCTCTCGCACCGGAATTTGTTCCTCGAGGTACCGTAATTCTGACTTATCATAAAATATTGTGATGCTATTTAAGAACAAATTGCATTAAATGTTAATTATCAACAAATTTCAGCAGTATTTTCTTCCTCTGTGAAATCTTACGCCGAAACAGTAAAGCCAAAATCTCCAGAAAGCGGCAACAGCGAGTCGCCTCCATCTCACTCTGAACAACTTTTGTGTCCATTCGCCATGGGTGAAGTTTGTCCGTACGGTGATCAGTGTTCGTATTTGCATGGTGATATATGCGAACTATGTGGTAAACCCTGTCTCCATCCTTTAGATGAAGAGCAAAGAAAACAGCATAATGAGGTATAGAATTTTTTTATCAACAATTTTTTCTAACATATTCATATACAGTGATACCTCAGGATACAAACGCCCCATCATACGAAAGTTTCAGGATATGACATGGAATTCGAACATATTTTTGCTTCACGATACGAACAAAAACTCACCATACGATGTTACATTACTTCGCAGTGCCATTTTTTATTCACTTCTGTTCATCAGTCTCAGTCCGTGTGTTTGCTTCGTCATGGAAGGATCTCGCTCGATAAAGGAAATCTTGAGGTATTATCAGAAAGTGACTGATTTTATTGAAAAGAAACATCCCGAAAAGGTTCACACTGGCTGTATTGCTGCTCAGTGTAATGACATTTGCCTAAGTCATTTTAGAAACATTTCAAAAAGTAGGCAAAGCCAAAACTCTTTGGATAGATATTTTACCAAGCGACCTCTATCCAGTGAAAGTGCTAGTGGAATTGAAGGAAAGAAAGCAAAAAGCAGTGAATAAAAAATTTAAAAATAAATACAAAATAGAAAAGTTAAAAAATTAGTGTTAAGTTATTTTAAAGTTATTGTTACATTATGTTATGTAAGTTAAGTTTTAGTATCATTTCCCTTCTCCCTTTCCTCTGCCACCAGTTTACACCTCACCGTTGTCTATTCTCAAAAGTAAAGTGCAAATAAAACTACATTTTTTTTAATCAATTATTATTCTATTATGGTTATTTATACATTTAAAACTACAAAATGCATTTTTCAGTGTTTTCCTTACTAAAGTTATTTTTTTTCAATGTACTACTTAGCTTTAATTTGAGTGTGTTTTTCATGTTGGAATGGATTATTTGGTTTTACATGTAATCGTATGGGGAAAAATGATTCACCTTACGATATTTTCATGATACGATCTCAGTTTCGGAACGGATTAATTTCATATCCTGAGGTACTACTATACACAAAATGAAGTAGACGAGACAAAGCCAAAATTAAACTAATTAAATATAAATTAAAATAATTTTGTATTAAACTAATGTTTTGGTTTTTCTGAAACCTGTTCAAATAACAACCCTAATTTTAAACATTAATAGTTTGAGAGATTATATATGTATAAAAATATTTCTGGAAAAATTTAAGAGTTGGTTTATTTTCGCTACAGGAATGTACACAAGAAATAGAAAGGGACATGGAACTGTCGTTTGCTGTTCAACGTAGCCTTGGAAAGACGTGTGGTATTTGTATGGAAATAGTGGTAGAAAAAGAACCCCCTACAGAACGGAGGTTTGGAATCTTGGAGAAGTGTAATCACGTATTCTGTCTCACTTGTATTCGCCAGTGGAGGAAAATGAAGCAGTTCGAAAGCAAAAACATTAGGTATGATTGATTATTGATATAAATTATAAGAATTTCCAAATAAAAATTTTCTAATTATCAAATTTATAAGTTAGTTTAATTTTATCNAAGTTATCCGAATCACCCCAGTCCCCAATTGATTGGGATAATCGACGCTCTACTGTATATGTAATGTTACATTAGATTTTGAGTAAATTAATTTAAATTCAGTAATTGCATAAGAGTAGTTATAGATCACAAAACTTTAAAAACAAGGTGCTTGATGTAGCCAGAACACGAATGAGAATTTCTGGATCATTTGAAATTTCATTTATCCAAAACATCCCCTGGTCCTATGAAGTTTGGATAATTGAGTTTCTCCTGTATTCACAAAAATGGTATACAGTACTATATTCATGTGAATAATCCAGTGTGTGCAGTTTATTTGAAACAAATTTGGCAACATAATTCACAATGGATGTTTCCACTTACTAAACATTTTCCTTACTTTGCTGATGTTAAATTTCAATAAATAACCTCTCACATAAATACTGGAATGCAAACAATTAACTCTTGTAAACCTTAAAAGTCCAGTATTGACACCTTTAATAGAAAACAAACGTTTTTGACTGTACTTCGGTCTTCTTCAGGTTTGTAAAACCAGTAGGAATCAAACTTGTGAATGCGAAGAACAAAATTTCAATACCGGACTTTTAAGGTTTACGAGAATTAAATGTTAAATTTCACTTATCAACAACCAGATGACTTTGCTTAATATAATAATCATCTACAGTCAATAGTTATGAGCAATATTAGTGAATGTTTTTGCATAAATGATTTCACAAAAATGTGGATAAATAAAGTAAGTTAAATATACAATAAAGACTGATAGTATATACTCTTTATACCTGTATTACCTCTTAGTTTAAGTTGTTGGTCTATTAGCAATTTTTTGCCTTTGATTCAAATTAAATAACAAAGAAGTCTTACTTTCATTTAATTAATAAGTTAATTCATTCTAAAATACAGTAGTACAAATTGCAGATAGTTTATGTTTATCGGATAAAGAAATAATTGATTTTTCCCCCTTTAATCTTTTAATGCCATATGGACTTTATGTAATATGTAATAAATTAATCTTGTCTCATTTCAAACATGTTAATTATTTAATAAAAAAATAGATTTCTTGTCTCTTTGTCATCTCTGACATTACCCATATTTTTGGGCTGATATAACTGCTTTTTGTGTTGTTGGTAATTCTTAAAATGGTTACTATTGTTTCACATCACTTTCAGGTCTTCTACATTGTATAAATAATAATTGAAACACATTTTTGTGTGCATGTATGTACAAGAACATCATATTACAAAAATAAAAATACCATTAAATTTTAATAAACAGTCATAGATAATTGTTGAGAACATAAATGAAATGATTTTTTGAAACAATACAAACATAGACACACCTCTGATGGCAAATACTTGAAACTTACATGGATAAATGGAAAAAATTGTAGTAAACTTGTGATGAATGAAAATTGTTAAAAATTATTTTAGCAGTTTGAAAACTTGGATGTGGTCAACTACAAAGACAGTTAACATATTAATGTATTACTAATTTATTTACATCAAATGTTCTTAATAATAGCATTTATAAAGGAAAAAAAAAAATGAAAATTTAAACCATTGAAATATCAACTGTGCAGTCCATTACTATGAATAATTCATGGTTATCCTTTATTGATTTGTTTTAATTTTTGCCATTTATTCTTGTCTACTGTGAATTTGATGACAAGAATAATTGGCAAAGATTAGTTAGAAAGAATGTTAGCATTACAAAATTTTATTACACCATATGATAAGATACAACAATTTATGATAATTTATGGAAAAATCTTTCTTAAGTTTACATACTTTAAAAGTGCTGAATATGTGTACTGTGGGTTCCCAACACATGATACACCCAGCATTCTAATTTTGCCCATATCTAATGGAATGTCTTGAATGGGTAAATGAGGCCAGAATGATACTGTCACAGCTTGTCCAGATTTACTGGAAAAGAAAGATCATATCCAAAATTCTTTGTTGTAGATCCAAAGATAAAAGATGTTGAGTCTGGTGAGTGTGGTAGCCATCACATCTGCACCAGAACTTGTCCTGCTGTTCTTTCCATCCACCACTGGAAGAGTTTGGTGTTGATAAGTTTTGACTTCTCAGCAGCAATGTAGTGCAGTCTCACATTTTGGTGAATGAAGTCTTCAGAATTGCCTTGAGCTCAGTTTATTAACCACTGTACCAACATATCGGGGCAATTCATTCCATTGTCTGTTTTGCAAAGAAAACTGGCATCACACTTGTGTAACAGAGACACTGCAGAAAACATACTGAAAGTATGTTTTCAACAAATCCAAAACAACTTCTAAAGCTTTGTATGGAATTCTTGTCTTCCACACCTTGATGTTAAGCTGATTCACCTTCCCCGAACGGTGAAACTTAGCCTTGTCACTAAAGTAAACAAGAACAAAGCTGTACAGCATGCTACTTTGCAGTTTTCATTTTGCATATATAATTACCTCATTCAACTTATCCCTTTAATTATTTATGAGAAATCAATTTTCACATATTACAAATTTACAGATGTAATATGAGTACCACAGAGATATATTTTGTATTTGTGCTGCTGGCAGCAAGTGTGGGTTGCTTTTTGATCACAAAGCAGACCAAAATGATTTCAAACTTTTTCAGAGAAATGAAAGTTCATATGTACGAAGATATACAGATACAAGGCCTTTGCTAATACAGTACAGTAGAGTCCTTCAAACTCAACATAATGCAGGCTAAGATTTGCAAATAGTATGCTAAACATAAAGCAGGCTTTGATTTTAACTTTCTATGTTATTGTCTATTGTATGAGTTAGCAAAAACAACAAGTTTTATAGTGATGATGATAGTCCGAATAGAAAAGTTTTTGTAAAGATATATGTGAAAATTTGTATATGTATTAACTGCTTACCAATAGAGACTATTTCTATTTGTAGTTAAATTTTAATTTAAAAATATTGGCTATTCAGTGGTTACTTTTCAAGTTAGTTACTTTGGCCTTATGACATTTTGCAGTGGTACTTTGGAAAAAAGATTATATTCTTTCTTAACATGTGGAATTGATACTGTTATCAGTGAGGAATGATAATTTATTTGATCCTGGTGTTAAGTTACAGAGGTAAAAATTAGGTTACGTGTATTTATTTTTTTTGGACGACACAATGAGTTTTACTGAATGTTGAGTTACCAGGACTCTACTGAGTTAGTCTTTGTTGGAATTAATCTGGGCGGAATTCAGTACTTTTAAGGATCAAAGTCTTTCAAGATTTGAATGCATTTCTAAGAATTTAAGTTCTTGAGAACACACAATGAATGTAATTTGTTGAAAATGAGGAATGTAAGGTATAACATTTACTGCCAATTTGCTTTGTACGGAGTAATTAGTAACTAACTAGTTCCAATTATTTGAGAACAAGTTGGTTAAGATTATTAGTAATTACAGATGATTAATGAAGTAGTGATTAACTAGTGTATTAACATTTTCCAAGAAGTCAGATTATGGAATAATTTGGTCTCTGTATCATTGTAATACAATTAGTATTTCTGATGTCAGAGTAAAATACTGGGATTTTGGTCTCAAATTGGCTCATTTGAGACAATATTTGAATACAAGTTTGCCATTGCACAAACTTGTATTCAAATATCTAGTGCAAGTTCTCAAGAATGATGAAAACTTAGTAAAATGGAATATTCCTCAATCTTTGCATTTGAATACTTGCATCTTTAGTTAGTATCATTGTGGATTGATTTGGATTAAATTTCAAATAAATTTTATAAAGTTTGATTCTGGTTTACACAGGTTTTACTATATTAACAGAAACATTTTATTTAGTTGTTGAATATCATGGCAAAAAAATAATAATACAATGTCAATATTGTGGGCTACTAATAGATAAAATAATGTACTTTTCATGAAATACAATCAATTAGAATTGATGTGAAACAAGGCTGAATGACTAGTATTTGGTTAACCACACAAATATGCATCTTATTTGACAAGTTTTCCCTTATGACTTGACTGAAATGGATGATTGACTCAGTTTGTAGTGTTTCTGGGCATTGATCTTTAACAACTAGGTTTATTTATGACATATATTAGTACTTACTAACTTTTCTTAGAGACATGGAACACCATTCATATTCTTTTTGTTTCACAGAGCATTAAATTTTGTTTTAAATGTATAAATTTTATAAGTGTTTTTTGTTGCCACTAGAGGATAATNCAACATGTAATTCAGATAAAACGGAAAAATCAATGATCTTATAGGGGGGTCGACTGTATGTACGAAAAAATATATTAACCTATCCCGTTGAAATTCGTTCAAATCCTGGCAAGTCCTTAAGTACCCTCTCATGGTCACGCCAGTGCTGCCAGCTAAAACATGCACACCAACAAAAATAATATTGGAGTAGCCCAAGACAGCCAAATATTGCAGTGCCATAGCACTAACAGAAATTTAAATTTGCCAACTGGAAAGCTTTCGATTAATTGACGTTTCAGTTGACCAATATTCGGATAATCGACGCTCTACTGTATTGTGTAAAAGTACAATTACAAACATTTTCATAAAACATATGGTTTTTCTGAAGATGATAACTGCAGGTGTCTTACCAGCTTACTTTTGCTGAAATTTTTTGCATTAAAACATTATCACATGCACTGTAAAAATTATAGCTGAAAAATAAATCATATACAAGACACAATTACATGCATACTTATACATACTCTCGTATAAGACATGTCATTCTTGTATATCTTCAATCTCTGTGTTATCAGACTTTTTCCTATATTACAAAGCATTTAGATATCCATCAACATTTAACTTTTGAAAAAATGTGTAAAGGGTTAGAAAATAAGCATGAAATATTGTATGATTGGCAAATAATGTTCTATTATCCATATTATTATTCATCTTGGAATTCTGATGTCATTTCAATCACACCAAAATATGTTATTCTGAACATTTTGTGTATTTGGAGAATGGATTAATGTGTAAATAATATTAACTTTATTTTAGGTATGTTTTCCAAAGTTGTTACTTACACAATTTTTCTCTAATAGTAATAAGGTCTTTCGTTTCCTACAGGATTTTTCCACAAATGGAAACTATGCTGTCAGTAAAAATCAGTGATTTGTTCATATTAGATGTAACAACAACAGTATTTTGTATTTATTAAACTATGGTTTAAAGTTAAGCCAAAAAATAACATTCTTTAGTTATTTTACAAAAAACTGATAAGCGCAGTAGTGATGATATCAAAACTATGACAAAATTACCAACTATCAAAAAAACATTGCCAAGGCTGGCCTTTTTAGATGAATTAATTTCCGTGCAATCTCTTTCAAATGCACTTTAATATAACACGAATGGTATCTTTTATGTGTGCATGTATAATCTATTAGCACGAGAAAAACAAAATACTTGTGTGAGGGAAGTGAAAAGTATATTATTATATGGAGAATATTAAAAGAAAGCTATGTGTAGTCAAACTAGATACACTGATGAGACCATGCAGAATATCATGCTTGAACAAAATAAACACTTTTAATAAAAATGGCTGGGACAATAAGTATAAATTTTAAAAATTTACAAAAAAATTCTCAAACAGATAATATCATATTTACTCATTTATAGGCTGCACTTTTTTATCCTAAATTTTTATCCAACATTAGGTGTAGCCTATACTCGAGATAATGAATAAAGAAGACTACTTTGAAAGTGTGTCTTCTTTTATTCATAATTTTTTGACCGATGGTTCTTTTTATTTTTTATTATTATTTGAAGACAAGTTCGCCCAAATAGGGATCACCATTTCATACTTTTGCGTTATAGACAATACTTTTCCACCGACCGACCTTCCTTTCTAGGCTACTAGCCACCAAAAAGTTTAAAAAAGTCCTTTTAAAAAACACAAAAAGATTTCCAATTAAAAACACAAAGATTTTCTAAAATCGGAACTGGTGTAATACGAACGTCTTCCTTGTTACCATCTGTACCTTCTTGGGGGTTTTCTGCCTTTTATCCACAGAGTAGAGAGCGCTGGAAAATTCTTTTATTTGCTTTTTTGTGTCACAACTAGGTTATCAGCCCACAAGATCTTACAGAATAAAGAGTGATGCAAAAATGCCCAGTGTCTATCAATGCACCTAATTGTGACCAAAAAAAAATTTTTAATTTTAAAGCAATTTATTATCATTAATTAATTGACTTTACATACCTTAGGACTTGCAGTAAGATTATTTGGAAGTTTTAGGACACCAAGCAAAAAGCAAAAAGAAGGAAAAGCACAAAGAAAATGCAAAAAAAAAAAAAAAAAATATAAACAAACAAACAAATAAATAAATAAAAGGGAGCTGTCTAAGACTCCAACTAAGCAATACAGTCCATTTCAAAATTACAAACACACCCAACTTTTTTCAATAACTAAAACATAGTAATGTATTTATTATATTAGTATGTTGTTTCCAACATCAATTTAAATGTTTTCTGAAATTTTTAGAGCTATCTGACAAAAAAAAATTACCAAAGATTTTCAATTTTTGATTGTTTCAAAAGAGTAAACAGAGATGCGTAAAATGATTTGTGATGTTTCAATATTTTTTAGATTTATTATATTATGTTGCAGATATCAGTTTTTTTTGCAAATTAAACAAGATATATTACAAGGTCGATTACCAGTTTCATTTGATCTCACAGTAGAATTATTTGCTCTAAGTGTTCAGTGTAAGTTTTTATTTTTAATATAATTTTAAATTTTTTTTTTAAACGAAAATGTATTTTTACTTTTTAAAAAATTACTCTTATAAATTAATTATCGGATAATGGAAAGCCGAAACATAAGGGAAAAAATAGAAAAAATATTCTTGTAATGGAAAAATAAATCGATTTCACGTTAAATGTCGCTTACGTAACGTTTTTTCTTCTGTGTATTTTTATTTAATAATAATTCAGTTGTTTTCTAAACATTTAATAACATATGAAATCTCTTGAATAATGCATCTAAATTAACTTTCTAACATTTTAATCTAAACTTTATATTTTAGCTAATATGACAGTGCTCAGGAAACAAGGACTTTCTTCTGACAGCGGGTTCGGCGAAGAAATGTCTCAAACAACCGCTGGACCCGGTTCACCGCAGTGGGCTCTCGCACCGGAATTTGTTCCTCGAGGTACCGTAATTCTGACTTATCATAAAATATTGTGATGCTATTTAAGAACAAATTGCATTAAATGTTAATTATCAACAAATTTCAGCAGTATTTTCTTCCTCTGTGAAATCTTACGCCGAAACAGTAAAGCCAAAATCTCCAGAAAGCGGCAACAGCGAGTCGCCTCCATCTCACTCTGAACAACTTTTGTGTCCATTCGCCATGGGTGAAGTTTGTCCGTACGGTGATCAGTGTTCGTATTTGCATGGTGATATATGCGAACTATGTGGTAAACCCTGTCTCCATCCTTTAGATGAAGAGCAAAGAAAACAGCATAATGAGGTATAGAATTTTTTTATCAACAATTTTTTCTAACATATTCATATACAGTGATACCTCAGGATACAAACGCCCCATCATACGAAAGTTTCAGGATATGACATGGAATTCGAACATATTTTTGCTTCACGATACGAACAAAAACTCACCATACGATGTTACATTA